GGGGTCGCGCCGGCGAGGGAGACAGTGGGATTAGGCGGGGAAGGTCCAGGAAAAAAAAAAAAAAAAATCAGCTCGTGTTTGTGTCACAGGCAAATGAATGCGGGCAGCGTTAAGCGGTCCAAGCACCTCCGTCAACTCAAAAGGAGAGGGGAGGCCAAATGAGATTACAGGCAATAGAAAAGGGCCGGGGTTGGGGTTGGGGTTGGGGGGGGCCCTCCGCTCAACCCCTACTGTGCATGAAGGCCGCTGCGCGCCTCACACGGTCCGGCTCCCACGGACGCCCCATTCACACGCCCTTTTGACTCTGTCGTGAACAGGCTGAAAGGGGGATCTCTCGCAACCTGGCCCGGCCGGCTGCGCTCTTCGGGACGGGGAGGCAAAACGAGGGAAGAGGCGGCGATCGAGCCTTGGACGTCAGCGAGCTTGGCCCGGGGAGGTTGGAGCCCTGCGGCGGGGCTGCTGGTGCGGCGCATGGGATTTCTGTTGGGGCGGGGATGCTGGGGGTGCGCTCGGTTAAGGGGGTTTAGGGAACGCCAGCTCCGGGCAGAGCGGGGCGGTGGGGGCGCCAGTCGCTGGGATCTTTGTGCGGCTAACGCAGCGTGACATATGGGAAACAATGGCGGATTGATGAGCCCCAGCAGGTAAAGGCGGCAGCGGCGCGAGACTTCCCGACGTCCAGGACGCCGCCGTTCGGATTCAGCTGAAAGCGCTCAGCTGACCGGTGCTGTTCCTTTGGCAAGATGCAAAATATCGGGCACATTTGAGGAGCTGGACAGTAGCTTGACATTAGCATTGACCTCTGACACGGAAAGCCATTCAGGCATTTCTTTTTGGTGTTCTCAAATTTTTAATTTTACTCATGGGATGAAGAAAGGTCTATCTCGCTCATTATTATGCGTGCATTTTAATATGGAAAAGATGCACAAGAAAAAAAAAATGAGGTCAAGTTATTGTCAAAGGTGTTGACTAGTGAGAGCCGGCGGCGCGTCATGGCAGAGCCAGGACAACAAGCGCGCCGCGATTATGAAACAATGGGATCGTCTTACATAATGAGCCGCCGCTTTCAAAGGGGGCACCGGCAAAGAAAACGGGCCGACGCGCTGCTCGGTTTCACCTGAACGCCTTGGGTGCTTGAACAGGGACGAAGGGTAAGGGATGAGCGGCCTGGGGGGCGTTGACGACATTCCCGAAACACTATCCAGATGCACAGCAGCACACCTCAGGGATGACAGGAGGTCATGAGATCCCGCTGAGCGCTAAGGCCCCCCCTGACACGGCCACAAAGGGCTGATGTCACTGCAGGGACTCGGCTTTTCCCAGGAGTCCTCACTCACTCCGGAGTAAACAAAGTGTTTACTGTCCTTTATCAACCAGAAGGATGTGGAGGCTCATTGGGGGGGGGGGTCTCTTTAACCATCCAGTCCGGGTGACCCGGTGTATTTTATGGATCATTTCCCGCCACTCTGCAGTCTTGGTTTCATCCAAATAGAAAGAGGTGACAAGTTGGGATTTCAGTTGAAGGTCCGCACGGGCATGAAGGGTTTCCTCGGTTTACGAGAGCGATTCCTTCCTATGACGGCGATGTCATTCCTGGTCAAAGTCCTACGTGATCAGATTCGGAGTCGCAGAGGGTCAGGTTGGACGAGTACTGGCCATTTTGATGACGTGAGTTAGGTTGCAGCAGAAAACTTCAAGTCGGAGGTGGGACTGCCACAGGGATCAAGCTCAAGCCCATTCTTGTTTGGGATGGTGATGGACAAAGGAGATTTGGTGGCGATGACATTGCAATCTGCTGCCAGAGGATGCCGTGTCAAGTCCTTGTGCGTGAATATGAAAGAGGCTGTCCAATGGGAAGGTTGCAAGGAGTCGTGCCGGTGTTGGAAAACTCGGGATCAAGAAAGTAGAAACCCGTCAAAAAAGGGTCGCCGGAAAACCACGAAGCACATTGTCATGATTTCAAGTAGACTCCTCAAGGGAGCCTCTCGCGGAGTTGCGTTGAAGGGAAGAACTTTGAATAGCGGCGTCTGGATGTTGGCAGAGCTCACGTTTGCTCTTGACCATGTTTAACACGATTGACACACTCTGTCGCTTCTCTCCCCCGCCTGTTTGCCGCCCGGCCTCCGTCTCCCGCAGCAACCAGAGAGTCAGCGTTTGTCCACGCCATCGCCTCGGCCGGCGTCGCCTTCGCCGTGACGCGCTCCTGCGCCGAGGGGACGTCCACCATGTGCGGCTGCGACTCCCACCACAAGGGACCGCCCGGGGAGGGCTGGAAGTGGGGCGGCTGCAGCGAGGACGCCGAGTTCGGGGTGCTGGTGTCCCGAGAGTTTGCGGACGCCCGGGAGAACCGACCGGACGCCCGCTCGGCCATGAACCGACACAACAACGAAGCCGGACGCACGGTAAAAACTCCACAATGTTGCGCCCGAGGATCTGACGGGAGGTAAAAACGTGTCGGATCGCCCGCTAACCATCGCGGGGATAAATTCCTTCCGTGATCAGAAAACATCAATAAGAGGATCTGCGCGTTCTGTCAGTTGGAAGATTAGCCGATGTTTCTGTTTGAGCTGAAAGCGAACACACTTGACACACCAACGCTTTTGGCCGCACGCAACACACCCACAGCAAAAATGTCCCGACTGTCAAGTCGGCCGCATGGCTTGAGGGTGAAAGTCGGGAGTTTACGCATGAGCGGCTGGCCGGGACCACACGGGAACAAGCCGGCAGGCCCCACGCCCCGCTTCGCCACCTGGCCTCGCTCACGCTGCCTTCGTTTGGAGCCGGGGGGCACTTCAAGACCCCCAGGTCACCTCTGCATCCTCGAGTGGGATGGTGAGGTGCACGGGGATTTTATTTTATTTTATTTTTTTTAAAGAACGACAAAGGCGTCTCGGGGCGCCCTGCTGAGGTTGTGAGCTACAGAATTAGCAGCTCGGCCCCAAAGTCTCCTTTACGGGCTGGAGTTTGAAAGTGAATAAGATCTCAGCGACCTGAGATAAGCTTCAAGATGATTCGGACGAGCAAAAGCACAGCCGATGATCACGTGCGGCACTCTTGTTGGCAGTTCCTGTTGTTTGACTGCCATTATTTCTTATTCTTCTCCCATGAAGATGCTCACGCACGGCACTTTATCAACTTCTGACGCCCCCCCCAAACTACAAACATACTCAACAGTCTAATCAGGCATGAGTCAGGATCAAGTCAGCAAATTTGTGAGACTTACATTGAAAAGACAAACGCTCCCAAAATTTTTTCGCTGCCAATTTACTTCAATGATTGCTAACCCGTTTTGATAACTTGGCACAACACCACCGAAAACCTTCTATACACACACACACAAAATAGTTCCCCGAGCAAGCATACCGACAAAATGGATTGAAGTACAGATAATAAATAAATAAATAAAAAAAACAGTATTTGTATATTTGGTTACTTCCCACCGCTGGCGAAGGGGTGGAAGAAACTTTTTGTCTGCGAGTGTCAAGTATGTATGACCGCAGGCTTTGGAATGTTTCTATCTCAGATTCCATCTCTCTCTCTCTCTTTCTTTCCAGCGTCGTATCATTGCATTGACATTTGAACAATGTGGTGTTGTGTGTCGCCCAGACCATCCTGGACCACATGCATCTGCGCTGCAAGTGTCACGGCCTGTCGGGGAGCTGCGAGGTGAAGACGTGCTGGTGGGCGCAGCCCGACTTCCGCATGCTGGGCGACTACCTGAAGGACAAGTACGACAGCGCCTCCGAGATGGTGGTGGAGAAGCACCGGGAGTCCCGCGGCTGGGTGGAGACCCTGCGCGTCAAGTACGCCTTCTTCAAGCACCCCACCGAGCGCGACCTGGTCTACTACGAGGGCTCGCCCAACTTCTGCGAGCCCAACCAGGAGACGGGCTCCTTCGGGACGCGGGACCGCGCCTGCAACGTGTCGTCGCACGGCATCGAGGGCTGCGACCTGCTCTGCTGCGGCCGCGGCCACAACACCCGGACTGAGAAGCGCAAAGAGAAGTGCCACTGCATCTTCCACTGGTGCTGCTACGTCAGCTGCCAGGAGTGCCTGCGCGTTTATGACGTGCACACGTGCAAGTGAACAGAGCGCCCGGGAGGGGGGTGCGGGCGGACCGGACTGCGAGCGCCGCCCCCGACCTTTCACATCCCTGCACGCCGTCCCCCTCTACGGCGCACACAGCCCGTCGCGCTCCGTCACCCAACTGACCTGGTGGACGCTTCTGACCTCCCCTCATGCCCCCCCCCCACCTCCCCCATTGTCTTTATTTATTTCCCCTATGTGCCAACCACATGTACAGGAACACACAAATGCAGTCAAAACAAACGCGACTATTTGCTTTGGAATTTTAAGAAAAGTATCTAACACCTCACGTGTCCAGCCGCTGCGGCTGCCTTCGTTGCGACCCCAAAAGAAGTTGAGGGGTGTTGTACTTTAAGGTGAAATTTCAGGATGAACCTAAAATGCACTCGAAAGCTCGACGGGTGATCTTCTCCAAACTGTTGACTGCAACCGTTCAATGTTTCGGTCCCGTTTGCGCAACTCGCTCTTGGTCAACAACAATCCGAAAGTCGCTTTGACTCTGTGATAATCCGGGCTCATCTTCTACTCAAAAGCTGTGCTGATCTCAAATCCAAAGCGATGCAACGGGCATCTCAGCGGTGATCTTCGAGCTACTCCGGTGGTTCACAAACCGGAATTTCAAAGACAAATTGGCCGTTAAATAATCAATCTGCAAACGTCAAGCACCTGTTCAGCTCCTTGTCGGAGAACAGCAAAATACCGAGACAATAAAAATTCGGAAACGATCATGAAAGATTTCAAACAGTGCATTTTACGTTCATGGGGAAAATTCACCCGAAAGCCAAATGCAATTACTTTTTGTGAGTAGTGTAAAATGATTGCTTTGAAAACTAAATCAACCTCTACAAAAAACAAAAAAAAAAAGTGACTTGAGCGGGTGGCCTGGGAAGCGGGTCTCATTGCGTTAACTACTGAACTGGACTGCGGGTCTTCAAACTACTGAGCTGACCAGAGACGCTGGGGCGGCCCGATATTTTACGGCCACCGGATTGCTGACATCGTGACATTGGGCCGGGACGGACGGCAGCTATGCAGGAGGGAGCATGTGTGCAAACAGGCAAGCTCATTCCATGTGCTAACTATGCTACATTTCAGCCAAACGTTGCTAAATTCCACTCTGGAAGGAATCGCAAAAAAGGATTTCTCTTTCATCGAAATGCTAAGCCATTTGCTAACGTAGCAGCGCTGCGACTCGGGCAATCAGAGTGGTGCACTCAAGTCAAGCTTCAGCACGCTTCGTTTTTCAGAAAGCAGGAAGAAATATGTTTGGCAAGCGCTCGGTGGCTATCAGATTGGTTTTTGCCAAAACACTGCAATTCGTGAAACTTTTGCCTGGTTGGGGGGAGATTCAATTCACACTGTGGACCCATAAAGTCTCAAATTTATCCCAGAAGAAATATGCTGCATTCACATTTGTTCGACAGCTCTCAAGGGAAGAAAAAAAAAAAAAGCATTTTAGTTTTGTTGTTCAAGATAAAAAGGGGGCAGGGGGGGCACTGAAGATCCTTCTGGAAATTCGGCCACAAAAAGGCAAAAGCACAAACGCGTGGGGGATGAGGCACAAGATGGAGGAGGTAAGTGAGGGATGGTCTTTTAGCAAAAGGGGGGCGGGGTGGACCTGGAAGGTTTGCACACATGGTGGAGCAAATGTAGCTGACACATGCGCTAGCTTAGCTTAGCATCCCCCCCCCCCCCATGTTCCTGGCCCTCCCCCCCACCCGCTATATCCAAAGTTTTGTACAAATGGTGTAAAAGTGAATAATTCCCTTTTGATTTTATAATCGTTAATGTTATGTTTTTCTAAATATTATTTATTATACATTGTATAGATATATATATAGATATATATGTGTATGACTGAATCAAGATTATATATTTGAACAACAACAACAACCATGTCTTGGCTATTTTGCTTCAGCAATTGCATCACACTACCTCTTACGCTGTACTACAAAAGCAAACGTACAGATAATTTTGTGTATTAAAAAAAAAAAAAACGCAGAAGCACTGATTCACTCCTTTTTAGTCAGACGATTAATTTATTCATAAAATAAAAAGGTGAGTAACCAGCATAAGACAGTGAGGTGTGCGGAATGATCAGGAGTACGAGTGTTTTTTTTTTTTTTTCCAATTTAACAAAAAAAGGACCTCGCTGATCATCGCCGATGACAATATACACAGATCCAGTAGACGTCCCTCATTCGCAAGGTTTTTGTGGCGTGCGAGGGACATGTCACGACAGGAGGACGTTCGTCTTTATCTAGAGGCAAAACACGTCGACTGATTAACTCCGAGACGCGCTCGTCGTGTCAACAACGCACTACAAACCACTCGCTGCAAAATTGTCAAGGCTTGAGTTTGGCGCGAGGTTTGTTGGCTTCTCACCTGTTGCGGGGCCCCTTTTTGTGGCAGCGGCCCTTCTACATTGGCACAACCGAACCCAGTCTGGTTGGGGGGCAAACGGCGACAACACGATGGTCACACAAGGCACGGCGTTCAAAATGATTACAAGGTTTGATTCGGGTTTGAATTCCGGGGCCCAAAATTGAGTACAGTCGCCGTAAAAATAATTCAATCCCAAAGAAATCAAAGCTTACCCTGAATATTTGCAAAGAAAATAGTCGCGTCTGTGTAGTGTATTTCTGAAAATGTGTCTGAGCAAAGCATTCTGCACTTCCGCCCCAATGTTACATCACAGCGGAGCGACTTCACATCATTTAGCACAGATGGGCTAACGGCGTTAGCTTCTCGTCATTCATTTCAAGCACTTACGCTCCCTCGTCTCGCAGCAGACTCAAGAACTTGCTAACTCGGTAGTGGTCGTCCATCTACAAAGCACACAAGAGAGGAGAAAGTGAATGGCTGACCTTCACCGCCGATCCTCAAACAACAAGGAGTCGTTGGCCCAAAGGTCATGTATGCATTCGAGAACTAGCATGGGTAGGAAAATCCTCGAAGTAAAACCAAAATTCAAATATTCCATAAAGGAATGTTAAAAAATAAATAAAATAAAAGCACACAACTCGAAGGCCAAACCACAAACTCCTCCGGGCCATATGACAAACCTCTGGGAGGGGGCGGAGTCCCAATGAATGAAACGCATATGTTGCGATGAACCGGCCGTCCCCTTCGCCACCCCCGAGGACGCCGCGGGACGCTCGGGGACTTTTGCGGGAAGCGTCCCCATGAGTCAGAACACGTGACCGCCACTTGGACAGTCACCCGTTGTCACGTATGAGGCGCACTGGAAGTGGAAGTGGCGACCGAGAAGCGTGCGCAACAAATCATCGGGCGAAGCCGCGCGCATTTTTCATTGGACTCAACACACGGCGGTTAGCGAGCGGCGGCGAGGACGCTCTGGCGACCAGATGTGGAGGACCGACGCCCGGAGAACACGCCGGCTACGAGGCGAGCGCTTCGAGCGCACAGGGTGGGACGCACATGTGCTTGGCGTGCAACCTGCTGCCGCTGACTCCATCATTTTTTTTTATTGACGATAATTGAATATGATCGTACGGTCGAGAGCCGCACGTCGAGGTGCAGTTAAAATAAAATCTCGACACACCCCTTCGTTTTTGCGATGATGAAAAATGAGGCCATGATTTAAATAGGTGACAATGTTTAAAGTCCCACTGATAAAGTTCAGCTGTTCACCCGAGCAGGCTTTTCTTCTATTTTGCATCGGCATACCTAATAAAGTGGCTGGTGAGCGCACATGCTGCAGCCGATGATCAATTAATTTTTGTATCCCCTTAGTGGCTGCAAAAAAAAAAAAAAAAAAAAAAAAAAAATGTTGTCACTGGTTGTGCAAGTGTCCTTTGAGTTCATTGGTGGCTGAAAAATAAATAAGAAAGCTCAACAATGAACCGTGGTCAAATCACCAAACTTTATTCCAGACTGCCAGCTTCTTCTGAGCTTTAAAACACATCAAGTATCAACAGCGGAATACTCGTATGGCTCTTGCCTTCAAGGTACACCAAGAAAAATACCCTGTTTGAACACGGAACGAACGCCAAGTGCAAAAATAAGCCAAGTTGCTTCCTGTCGACCGCATCCCATAAGACGCGCACAAGTGTTTACTTTCTATGGTGTAAGGTTTTTACATTCGGGTTACATGAATGTGAATATGGAGAGGAGAGTTTGGTGGTGGGCACTTTTTTTTTTCTTTCTTATAGTCTTGAGCAGTAGTGACCCATGTCTTCATACACACACACGCGCGCAAACAGCAGCTGAAGTTGAAATAATCATTTGGCAACATATGAAGAAACACCTTGCAATACAACATGGAGGTCATATCGGAGTTTGGCACAACACGAAAGCTTATCATAATATACACCCCCCCCACACCCCCCACCCCCGACTGCTGTAATGGTACTAGTTACATGCTTGCTTTTCCCTTCAGCGAAGAATACACCGTCAAGCCACACAGAGCACGAGAAGAAAAGTCCTTTGCGTCATTTCCGCTGCCATATTTAAATGGGAAAAGTTCAAAGTAGCTTGGCGCAGCGGCAACAAATAGCGCTAACAAAGTCGCGCGGCGACCCCCGCCGACCCCTAAAAGCGTCCTATTGCACTCCAGCAGGACTCGCGCCGCGCCGTCGGAATCATTTCTGGCCTGTTTTAAACCATCTTCAGCAAACCCAAAAAAACGGATACATAGATATAGAATTCATAGCGTATTCGGTAATACTAGGCTTATTATAACAGCTGCCGCACGTCCACACGGACGCGCGGCTTTTATATATCGATTTATGACATGGAAAATGCATATTTTATACATCGCTTTCAGAACTATATAGGCCGGTGCCTCGTGACGGGCGCGGCCGGATATAACATAATAGCTATTCTAGCGTATTCTCCTCCAAACAAATAGAAATAAAGGCGGCGGCAACGGCGGGGACCGGCGCGGAGCCGCTTGAGGTGATTTTTCCCAATTAAAGTCTCCCATGCACAGAGAGGCTTCAATACCGGTCAAGACTGGTTTGAAAACAGGCCAGCGGGACCCCTCCAAAGTCTCAAAAAGCTGTCAAACTCGCAAGCTTGAACGCCCGTTTGGTCGGCGCAACCACGGCAACTTGTCTTTCTGTACATTAAACCCTCTTGTTCTCTCTTTCTCGTACCTGTATCGCCATCTCGATGAGCATGATTAACTTCTTGATGCCGATCCAGAGGCCCTGGCCCTTGACAGCGTTGGCGATGGCCACCCGTTCCTTCTCCTGGAAGCTTCCCAGCAGCTTGAAAGAAACAAACACAAGGTTCCATGAGCTTGAAAGTGGACATCGTGCGGCAAATTGACTTTTCAGTGTGAATGTGTGTGTGTGTGTGTGTGTGTGTGTGTGTGTGTGTGAGTGTGTGTGTGCGTTACCTCCAGGGCCTCAACCAGCTGCTTGCCGCTGGAGATGTTGGGAATGTGGATGGTGGTGCTGAAAGTGTTGAGCATCTCCATTTCTTGGAGGACGTCTTTGCGACTGCTGGTGCCGATGATGAGCAGCTTGCGACCCTGGAAGACAGTCGAACGTTTTTTGCCCCTTTTTTTTTCCCTTTCAAATAAATAGAGCAGTTAAG